CCGTGAAAAGAAGGGCGACAGGGTGGCGCAGGCCTCGCGGCGCGGGCCGTCTTTGCACCAAGGCTGCTGCGGAAGGGCTGCCGAGCTGAGCAACGCGCCGCTCCTTCATTAGCTTCCCCTCCACGCGGCGCTGCATGCCTCGGAAAATAAGTTAGCAAACGGGGAGCCGTTTATCTCTTTTATCTTGGGGCCTGATCCAATTAAATAAGTGCACATTTACATTCGCATCCATCAGGCGGGAGCGCTGAGAGCCTGGGGTTTGCTCGGAGCAAATAAAAGCAGATTTCGCCGGGAAAGTGACGTCTGGGCGCGCTGGGCTCGTTCCGGCGTCAGAAAACAGCGCTGCAGGGTGAGCGGCCTCAGGGAACCCAGGGTTGGGAGCTGCAGCCCCGGCGAGTCGGAAGACCCGGGACAGCCCCGTGGGACAGGCCGGGCAGAGTGGCAGAGCTGTCCCGAAGGGCGAAGGAGTTCTCTTGTGCAATCATCCGGGTCTGCCCGCTGTCGACGGCCCAGGTTTGCGTTTATAGCGAAAACGAAAAGGAGAGCGGGTCTAACCTGGTCACTGAGGCAGACGTGCAGGGTGGGCCTAGGGACCGTGCCCAAGCTTTGGCTGGGGAAAAAGGCGGACGCCCAGGTCCCTTTCGGGTCAGATTTCCATCCCGTTTGAAGAGGCCAGGAACGCTCGGAGCCAGTCTGAGGGCGCGCCCTGCTCTCCCCCTCCTCACCCACCCCTCGCACGTCTGTGTCTGCGCTAGCCACGGTGGGCAGGGCAAGCTTCGCCATTCCTGTCCCAGGAAAGGTACTGTTGGAACGAGAGGGTTCGAAGCAAAACCAGCGGGGAATAAGCTTTCCCTTATTTTGTAGTGTCCACACACGGGCCAGAGCCGTGTTGCGGGGTTAGTGGCCTGGTAGGCTCCTCCCGAAATGGCAAACCACGAATTAAACAAGATTTTGTGCGATTCCTGGCACACGGGCGAGCAAGGACCAACAGAAGCGGAAATGGGATATGCCGGAAACGAAGCGACCCACTCGCCCCAAGCCCACCGTCTGCAGGCTACGCAGGCCCTCCCTCCCCGACCTGAGGGCTATCTGGGAGCCCACGATCCTCGACTGCCTGGCCTGACTCTTGGAACAGCGAATCAGCCAGGACGTGGATCTGTAGAGTTAGAGCTGGTTTAGTCAAGGCCTGCTACCCAACTTCCCAGGGCTTAACTAGGTCACGGAGTCCAGGGCCTAGGCCGCTTGGCTAGTGGAAGCCTCTTGAGGTCGCCCAGCCGCAGCGCAGAGCCGGGCCGGGGCAGGGAGCGTGGGCCTGAGCGGCTCTGGCCCGGCTCCTTCTCGAGGAGAGGCCGGTGGCTCTGGGGGCCAGTAGGCGGCGCCCTTCCTAACCTTCAGGCCCCGGGTTGCTCCGGAGAGTTCAATTCCATTCCTTTCACTTTGGGCGCTTTGAAGCGACCTGCTTCCTAGCTCTGGCCAGCCTGCGGTGGGGGGCAGGTGAGATGGAGACCTGTCTTGGGCTCAAGCAACGTGCACTGCCACCCCAATCTTCTGCGCCCCAAGATTTCGGTAGTAAAGGACCACAACGAGAGGTCTGAAGGTGTTTACAGTAGCAACTCACAGAGGCTCCACATCAGAACTGGAGAATCACCTTTTCCAGGTCCTAGTACCTGGGGGAAGGAGCCCCCTTGCCACTTTTCAAGCCCCCCGAAACTCTCCCCTCGAGATATCACCAGGCTGCTTCTTTTTTGACTACTAAATCCCTTCAACTGATTTGGCCGGCCCAAAGGGGCAAGGGAGAAGTCCCTGGCCCCGGGAGACTGCCGGCAGGGAACCCCAAGGAAAAATTTCTCGCCCCGCTGGGGATTTGACTCCTTTTAGACCCCTAAGGGCCAAGCTAGGGCTGCTGAAGGGGAGGGGGTCCCCAAGACTGGCCTAGCCCGGATCAGGTGCTTGACACCAGCACAGCTCAGCCCCGAGGTATTTTAGAGATATTTCAGGCACCGTCCCCCGCCTCTTCCGTTCCCGGATCCTAGCGTGAGTACGAACCCCGACCCCAGCACTGACAAGAAGCGCTCCGCGCCCACGCCCCCAAGATAAGAGGAGTCATCCTGGAGGCCCAGGAACGCGGGACCCGCAGCCACTCCTGGGATTAACCGCAGGTGTGATTCTCTGCACGTCCGTAACTCGGAACTGTCCCGGCAGGCCACCTCCAAATTAGGCCAAATCTCCGGGAACCAGAAAAAGCCCTGGCTGCCGCAGGCCAGCTCTGCGCGAAAGAGGAGCCCGGATTTCCGCGGGAGCGCGTGCGGCGGTCGAAGGAGGCGCCGGGAACCAC